TCCACTGCATTTCAGAGGAGTTGTCCTTGGGAGCTGAAGGCACCAAACATGACCTGTCCTGGCAGCTGCACAGAGGTCTTTTTGGGGCAGCTCTGCTGTAGGAGAAGGCAACTGAAAAAGCCACATGGAAGAAGAACTGGAGCCTGTGGACAACCAGAACAACAATGTGATGGTTTACGTGTGATTGTTTCCTCCTTTTTTTTCTTCTGGGTGGCTGGTTTACTTCTACTTGTCAGATGCATGCAGCCATTCAGACACCAATAAAGGATTCTTCAAGTTTAGGAGAAGAAATCAGACAAAACATTTTAGATTTCTTCATAACAAGCTCACATCCTATGCCCTGTATCCTTAACACCATGCTGTTTCTAGAAGCCATAACTCCACATGATATCCAGCTGTTATCAGAGCTGTGGGATCCACCCCATTGCTATTCCACACCATACAAAATATGAGTTCCTTGCCACATATTGAGAGGCTAGATCTTCTACCAGGTTTCTATTATGATATGTGAATAGACAGGTACTCTGTGATGGCCTCTGTCGTTAAATTTAACTACAGTAATATTCTACTCTAGTTTGATGCTTAATTCTTTGTAAGGTACGATGGGTGTATATATGTTATATGCATATGTTATATTATGTATATGATATGATATATATGTTCACACCCAAAACTATCACACATATGGGGTCTTAATAGCCACAGTAAGTAAAATACAGATATGACAATCTTTTACACATGCTATTCCAGCAGAACCTCTCCCTGAGTTGCATCCAATACCTAAACCCAACACCAGCCATCAGACTCTCCACCTTTAACACTCCAAAACTACCCACCCTCATTTTTACTGGGGTTCATGGTCAAGTGAGATTGATAGAATTAAAGGATATCTGTGTACACAGTTGCTGCAGATCATATCTCAACATCTCTCTCAAGATCCCTCAAGATCTGAAGATCTCTCAAGAGATTTTCAATAGCCATCTTGCAAACAGAATGCTTTATGCAAGGCAATCGTGCATTTCTTTTCCAGCTGTGTAGAACAAGAATGAGCTAACCGCTCATTCTATGGCCAAGTGCATGTGATACATTCCTCTATCTGTATCCTAGTTACATCGTGAAATCTCTCATCCTACACATATGCAATCCTTTGATTGAACTTGTGAAGACAATGACAACATTCGGCACATTTCTAAGTGATCTTCCCCTCAAAGTACGTCTATACAGAAAAATTACACTGTTGAGATCAGGCGAGATAATATCGTGGCTCTTGGATGACTGTCAGGAATGACTAAACTTCACAATCCCAGAAGCCACTTTTACTAGTAACCTTTAAAATTCTCTACAGACTTGTAGTGGCAGATCACTTACATGAATGCTTTTCCCAGCAGGGAGGAATACACATTCGTCATTTTCTGAAAGCTCAACTGTTTCCTTCCAACAGCCCTGACACCCGACTTATCAATACTAAATTGTTTGGCTACTACCTAGTTCAACCAGTGGAATGAGGATGACTCTTACCCCAAGTGGACAATGCACAGGAGGTCAAAGAATTTACAAGACCAAGGATCAGAATTGTATTGTGACAGCAAATGAGCACCACATGTGATCAAAGGTGATGTGATAAATCACAAAAGGTGTCATGAAGGCAGGCACTTTCCAGTACATGAAAATTTCAGACACTGAAACCTGACACCAATTATTTTTAGATTCTTTCTAAGAATTTCAGCAGTGTAAAAAAATATTTTCATGGTCTTACTACATAAAAAGCTAACGTGAATAGCTGAAGTTCTGATTTAAAGTCACAAATATGCATACAAATGGCAGTGCAAACTTTTCTACATCTTTGGCTGTATGACATTAATTGATCTTTACCTGTCTGGGACATGACAGAATTAAGATCTACAGATGTTGACAGTATTGGAAAGAAAGGCAAGAAATCTGGGGACAAAGGGCTGCAACACTGAAGAACCCCTTCCTTCTCCCTTGAGCACATCACCTAGAGACCTTTCTCATTGATGTACATATACCATTCACTGAGTTTGGTCACAAACTGCTGTTCCTCTGGAAAAGGGGAAAAAGAAAGGCTTGCTACTTCTTTGCAGAATTCAAAGTTCCCATTCCAGCAACATTATTGCTGCTTTGCTTTGCTTCTCCCACCCTCCTGCCCTCAGACACGTCCTGATGTTTTATTTCCATTGACTTTCTCTTTGTATCAACTTAAAGTTGATTGAATATGTTTAAAACATATCATTGATGAAAAACCTGAGGGAAGAAGGGAAAAGAAGTGGCAGAAAACTGATCATTCCAGTATCAAAATGAAACAGTAAGTCAAAGACAGGAGTGGTAGCCTGCTAAAACCATCCAGCCTATGTTTTAAGTTAATGCCCTACATAGTATTACCTACGTAAAAGAAAGATTCCCCAAAGTATGTCATCCTATGACCAGGGGGGAATTCTGGTTAAAAGCAGGACAGTAACAAAACAGGAAACGTTTGTTTGTTTGTTAGAATGATACTTGCAACATGATGGACAGAGGTCAAAATGATACCTACAGAACCAATATGCACGAAGGTGATCCAAAGTTAGATAACCAAAGCTGAGAGAACTTTACCATCTTAAAACCTGTATAAATTAGGGAATAAGATTTAGTTTAAACTCTTTTTTGTTCATTTATGGTCTTTCCCCTTCATTCTCCTCTGTCTTAACACAGCTCACTGCAAAATGTACAAAAACCTGCAAGGCACAAAAGGAGGAGCTAAATGTTCATAGTACCTTTCAACACGTTCTATTTTGCAATGCACGAATGTCAAAACTTTTCTCAGTTAATCTGCGGTGAGTGCTAGCTGAAAGGTAGAAGCAAGGTGCATTTACAAGCAAGTTAATGGCCACATTCACTTAAACTGCTGTATGGTTTGGTTTTTCTTCTACAGTTGCAGAATTAATCTGACCCATTTTTGATCTCCACCCTTGTAAAATCATTGTTTCACATCTTTTTACTTAAGATACATGAGTTTCTTGCAATTTATCTCCACCTGGAGAAATTCTACTCTATCTATTCTTGTACCCAACATACTTACCCAGGAGTTCTGGCTGGTTTTAGTCACTGTAACAGTCATCTGCAGCCAGTGGTTTACAAACAGAACACTCCTTCGAAATACATTGTTGACAAAACATTTAGAAAGTGAAAAAGGGTTTTAAACTTTTTAACCTTTATTACCCTGTTATCTTACTGGTCTTTCTGTACTCACTGCCACTTACTATGCTAATACGTTCATTTAGTAAATATCCCCATAAAGCAACTAATAGATGGCATCAAAAATTTAACACATTGACTCCAAATTCACTATCATCCTTAAGTATCTTCTCAGCTAGAACCTTGAACTTAAAAACAAACAAACAAAAAAACAAACAACAACAACAAAAAACCCTTAGAATTATATAAAGACAGGTTGAAAATATGCTAATTACATTAATTTATTACAAAAGTCCAAACTGATTTTGATTTACACTACATATGTACAAAGCTAGAAGCAGCTCCATATTCATCAAATACATTTTTACCGAGGTCAGAGTCTTAGTCAGACCATTTATGCATGCACTCTAGCCAACATACTGAGCTTCAGGATCAACCCTTCATTGCATTAAGACTTCACAAGGTGCCCAGTCTTCATCCAGGTGTGAAGAATTACAAGTTGTATTCTAATAATAACATCAGTTAGACTGAAGATTATTCCACCCATAGATAATCTTCAGCACAACGTGTAGCAGCATGTCTCTGTGGGGTTGTTTTAATCATTTCCCAGTTTATATTAGAGCCCAGTGGGGATCAGAAGAATCATGTGTGGACAGGGGTAGAGTCAAGTGGAACCACCTGCAGCAAAGGACATCTGCTCACAGGGACAGAGCAGGCACCATGTCTCTTTGCATCTGGCAGCACAGGTGTCAATGAAAGCAAGTTTAGTTTTTGCACAGGCCTTACGCCTATTTTACTATCAATCTTAATGTTTTAATGCCATTAGGTGACACAAACCAGAACTCAACACGCTTTCCACACTATGTAATCCAAATTCTGATCCAAGACCCATTGTGTACTGAACCTGCACAATGTCTACATGAAGTTTCAGAGAATTTGTTTTATTTTGTCTTTCTAGGATAATCAAACGATCATCAGCTGGTTTCAATATAAACAGGTTCTATAATGCCACGGTCCCTTGTGTAACATTCCCCCTTTCTGAAACATCTGAATGCCTCCCAATGCATTTGTTTTGGTTTTAATAAGGAAGAATACAAAGAGAAATGCGTTTGAAAGCTTTTAAAATAAATACAGGTCAGGTATTAATACACTTCAAACAAAGCATGGAGCAGCCCTTTGGTCCCGAAAGGAATCTCACAGCCTTGGGCCAAGCTTTAGGAAACTCCTCTCTTTCACCGCTGGGTTGCTTTCGGGGGAATGATGTGTTCGGTGGCAGCAGAAGCTGCAGCGCCCCTCAAAACCCCGCACGCCCTCATTTTGTTCACTTAATGGGGTTCCCCCTGAGGGGAGGCTCGCCTCAGACCCGCAGCACTCAACCACCCAAACCGCACCGTGAGTGCCAAGGGCTAACCAGTTGCTTAAAATCGGGGATTTGGAGCTGCTGCTCCAGACAGGGCGCAGTTTCAGGACCGCTTCCCGAGACGGGCTTTCTCCAGCTGCGAGCCCCGCTGCCCACCCGACTTCAAGCGCGTTGCTATATTTAATCACGCACAGCCAGCAGAGAACCTTCCTTGCTCCACAGCAGAGACCTGCGCCCACCTCACGCCCCCCACACAGCTCCTTAAAATCAACCCTGAGGAACCGAGCTCGCTGCGGCTGCGGCTTTGGGCTCGCTGAAAGCCCCCGGGCGAGCAGCGAGGCCGCCTTCCCCAACCCGGAGCCCCCCAACACCGCCCACTGGAGCCTCCCGGGGGTCCCCCCTTCGTCCCCAGGTCCCGGCCCCGAGCGGGGCGAAGGGCGCCACTTACGGGGCCGGGCGGCGGCGGGCAGGGCTGCGCTGGAGGTGCGGGCTCAGCGGCGGGGCTCCCTCAGCGGCGAGGGCCGGCTCGCTCCTCCCGGCAGAGAGCCCCCAGCCATGCCCGGCCTTCCCACACGTGCGGGGCCGCCTCACCCCTCCCCGCCCCGCCGACCCCCTTCCCGCCCTTCCCTCCTCCTCTCCCCCTCGGCAGGCTGTGGCGTGGGTGTCCCCCCCCTCCCCCGAGCGGCGCCATGGTGCCTCAGGGAGGCTGGGGTCCCCCGAGGGGCTTTTCCTTTTTTTCTCTCCGGGCTGTGAGGCGGGGAGGAGGGGAGGCACTCGCCTCAGGACGCTACGAGACCCCCGGTTCCCCTCACTGGGTGCTGGCACCTCGCAGCCACCCTTACACGCCGCCCGCAGCCCCTTTCCATGCCTTGCTGCCACTTGTCAGCGTTTTCTGCCCCAATCTCTCGCCTTAAATGCTTTGGACTTCTGCCTGTTAGCAGCACGCCGAAAGACGGCTGCAGGGGCTAATGATCCATCGCCAGAAACAATATTTTTTTTCCACGTGGTTTTAAAGGGAGGAGAGTGTCAGGGGATGCCTCCCCAGCCCTTGGTTAGGCAGCGAGAGGAAAGTCCTCTCTGCAAAATGCTGAAGAGCCTAGCAGCCCTCATAGCTTGAGCCTAGCAGCCCTCACAGCTTGAGCCTAGCAGCCCTCATGACTTGCTGGATGTGTATCCCAGGCTGGCTCTGAGGCATGGTAGGAGAGCATGACCTGTGCGGCTCCACATGGGATTTTGTGGCCAAGCTCCAGGGAGCGGTGGGAATGGAGGGGAAAGAGCCACTTCAGCTCTCTGCATATATCACACTTTGGATGTTGCTTTTCAGATGCATCACCGGCAAAATTTGTCTGAGAGCTGCAAAAAGCACCACAGGATGGGATACAGAACAGGCCTGACACATGTACAATGCTTCTTTTCATTCTGGTGTTATCAATTGGCTTCATAAAACCCTGCTTCTTCCTATAAACATTGTCATTTTTGTTGGAGATGCCTGGGATGTGGCAGCTCCATCTGTCCACAGGTTGGGGAGTTTTTGTGTCTCCCTCTGCTTCAGCTTAAATAATTCAGATTGTTCCCCTGGGCCAAATATCCCAAAAAAACTCATTTTAGGGCTAAGAATAGTCTTAGGCTAAGAATAGCTAATGCTATGAATAACTAACATTAGGAATAACCAGAATAAATCTTACAATCACAATCTCTCTCCCTGAATATATTCTACTTATATAAGACCTTTCATTTTCAATACTATAGTCAAATTGTTGGGAATATTTTTTAAAATTTTGGCTGTGGATCTGCTTGTCTCTCTTCTGTGATGGTCTGTCACCGTATATGTGGTGTGTGTGCATATGTGCATGCATACATTATACACACACCCATGCATAACCCTACTGTAGTTTTTAAGAAAACAGTGATTCTGTGGACAACAGAACTAGTGACTTGTGAATAAAAGTCTTCATTTTCTTTGTGGTTTTATATGACATCTTTAAACCTAAACCTTCTGCATAGATCTAACTTTCAAAAAAAAAATTTGTATCATTTATATACTACTTGATACCATATAAATACTGCATAAACATGGTAAATATGATATATTTATATAATCAGACCTAGTGCTATTAGTGGATCACACATAATCAGCATTTCACAGATGGGCTAAACTCCTCTGTAAATTTCTATGAACAGTCCTTAAGATTCGTTTCAGAAAATATATGAAAAAGACCAACAATAGCACAGCATCATCAACTATCCTCAGTAAAAGGTAATTATGTTGCATGTGTTTCACCAAAAAATAAGCAATCTTACTTCCAAACAGATTTTATACCAGCCCTATTGTGCTTCTTCCCACTCCACATCCATAAGAGGCCCTGAAGAGGCTAATCCTAAGGATGCAGGCAAAGTCCATGAAGGCCTGGACCAGTTTCAGCATGCCTAGATATTTTGGGTTTGTTTGTTTGTTTTTGTGAGAGGACTTGCAGACTTCAGATTGCAGATTATTCTCTTTTGTTTCATTCTTAGGTCTAAATACCATTTGCCCTTCGGGCAAGGAGTAGTAAATGTAGTTTTCATGATGAATAACCATAATCCTTGCAGTTAAGTAATTAACAGGTTAAGTTTCAGCTATTAGATCAAAGGACTTTTCCTCTGTGAAGATTCCACCTGAAGCAGTCATGTGTGCCTTCCACTGTCAAAACTGCCTATAAAGTGTGAACTTAAATATTTACATCCAATATAAGTGGGTTTTTGAAATGCCATGACCTAAAACACATGGAATAGCCAGATCCTATCTCAGCCCTGCTTATACTGCATTGCTCTGTTAAAAACTGAAGTGGCTTTCTCTGCTCTCTCTCTCTGTGATAGCTTTGAAATGTTGACAAAACCATAACTACTTTTATGAAAAGCAGCAGAGTGTCATGAAACTCAGCATGCATGTTTCTGGGAGGTCTGGTAGTCCTCCACAGCCACAGCTTTCCTTCAGAGGAAAGTCCTTTCCCAGTGACTGCGCAGACAGAGCAAATTGCCTGCCATTGGAACAGCTCCCTGTCAGAGTGACATCCTTCAATTTATGGCTGGCCATATGTAAATATATCAGTCCTGATTCAAATGTTTATTGCGTATTAATGTATCCTGTAATTAAAGCAAAGAGCAGTAAATCTGGTTTTCTGCTTTCACAGCCTCGCTGGGAATGTGTATATCCTAGAGTCAAATGCACAACTGCACCTCACAAACATCCTCACAGTCTAGCTTTAAACAGGCTAGACCAGAAACTAGTACAGCCAGGGAGATCGGTACTGACTACAAACACACCCAAGAATTTTCTGTTTATTTACTAAAGCTTCCTGGCATGTTTGGAGTCAGCAACGAGCCCCATACCACTATTACTGCAGGTAGACAGACAAGAATTAATCCAGGTCAATGAGTTCTATCACTGCTGCCATCGCTACACTGTCAGATACTGCCTGGACTGCAGCATGCTGTCCTTGCAAAGACTGGGATATCATATGGCTTCTTTCAAAAGTAGATCAAATTCTGTTTTAAACTTGGCTGGGCTTTACCTTTCCACTTCTACAGGAGAACTCATTTAGAACTGTCAATCTGAGCCAAGTATCTGTAACTCTGATACTGCCTAATCATGCAGAGGATCAATCTGATGAAAGAAAAAGAGCAGAAGCATATCTGGGGAGTGACCGTTTAATGACTTAACACTATAAAAGTAAATTCATGGCTCAGAATGATTGATTTATCTGAGGAAAAATAGATTGTGGACCATTCTCTTAAACAGTGGTGCTGTGCTTCTATGTAGTTGGACTACTTTTACTATGCTTCTCAGCAGAATCTCTCTTCTTCCCTTTTCTAGATACCTCAGGTAAGTGTGGAATGGCATCAGCCTGTCATCATTAACATGAGCAGTGCAGCAAAGATTTTTTTCATGATGCTCATCAATTTTTCAAGGAAACCATGTTACTAGTGGGAAACATTCAACCAAAACATTTGCCACAAGAAAAGTATTTCTTGCTCCTGCCCTTGCCATGTCTGCAAGACAACAGCTTTGACTATGGGTCTTAACAATAAATTGTCTGCATTGCATAAAACCTTCTGAATGCTATTGAAGAGTAACTCTTAGAGTAACTAGATTTGTAAATGTGAAAGGTGTAGTAAGTGTGACAGTACTACATCATGTATCAGAAGTCAGATGCTATAATACTTTGGCATGATGGAATAAGTTAGACTTGGTTAGTGGGTCAGGCCACTGTTGTTAGATGTTTTTCACCAAATCAAATAACTAGATAGAAGTATGGAAAACTAATAGGCAGTCAATGCGAATGAACAGGGTGGTCACCCATGTACATGATAGTGCAGGAAAGGAACCTTGATCCAGGTGAGGCTTAGAAAACAAAGCTCTGAAAATAGGTGATGTTAATGTAAAATTTAACATGGAAAAAACTAATGAGTTTTAAACAACTATCCTGACTTTTGGAGTCTGACAAGCTCTTAGGTAGGGTTCACAACACTGATTGTAACTTATAGCAGAACTCCAGATATCAGCCCACACTTTTAGGCACATCCTAAAAAAAGGCTCAAAAATGCAGAGAGGTGAGGGAGCAAAGAGGGTAAAGAGAGGGAAATAGTAGATTTCTCCAACCAACCCAGTATTCCCACCAAAGGTATCACTACTTATACAATAAGCTTCACTATGTGTACTTAGCCTTGGTTGCTGGTGCCTTAATTCTCTTAATTCTATTAATAATGTTTTCAGAGAAATTTTCTCTGTAGAAAGGTACCTAGTGGAGCTTTTAATGTCACTGGGAGCTGTGCTGGCTGGTGACTGGAGGGGAGTTGGCTACAGCCCCCTTCTCCACCTAGCTCACAGCGATGTTCAGAGTCAGTGATTTTGTGAGGAATGCAAATATCATAAAAATGAAGGCATTTTCCCTTGCAAGCAGGTTAATACCCATCAGGTCATGACAGAATTATTTGGCAGAACAGAAGTTTCACGATTTGGCTGACTGGAATACATTTAGTCACTAGACAAATAAGGGCTCTTATTGTGCAGGACAGATTGTCCTTTAACCTTTTCAAACACAAACATGGAGGAAAAAAGTTTGCAAAGGAAAAAAAAAAAAAAGCCAAGAAGTATTTCTAATCTGTGTTAATAAATGTAAAACATTATATTATATTAGGCTGAACAACAACAAAGAAACCAAGGAATTTAGATAAATCACAGAAAATTAGTATATATCTATAAATAACCAATTACCCATTTGCAGGAAAAAAAATATGTATGAAGATTTAGAAGGATATTTCCATGAACACTGGGTGACAATTTTTATTCTTTCCATCAGTTTGGGTGTTTATTTTCTTTAGAGATCTTGGCTATGTAGAGTCAGAAATGAATTATTACTTTTCCATAACAGTAAGAAAAAATGTTCTGGCAGGACTTGATCTTCAGCTGCATAAAGCAGGCCTGCCATTTGAGACTTCAAGGGGGTGTACCAAGGGGTGTGTAGGGGGGAGTGGCAGGAAAGCTGCAATCATCTTCTGTTTTCCAGCGAACAATGTTGAGGTAACCAGCAAGTATCTCGAGCAACCTATGGCAAGTCTCAG